GTCGTCGAAGTATGGCATTCTGAATTGGGTGCCCAATTTTTCTGTGGGCCGTACCCTCGAGAGCGTAGTCGATGCGGAACGAATGGGGTGCCCTTCCTCGGCGGCGGCCGGGAACAAGGGTATAGTCGAAGCCATCCCAACCCAAACACTTTTTTCATGTGATTTTAGTAGCTTTAGCGAAAGATTAATATGTGATTTTTTATTTTGGGTGACCTGCCCACGCCGCCCCAGGCCTATCTTCGTCGTGCGGCGGAGGCTCTCTAGAAAAATGATGAATCTTGAGGGTGTACGGAAGGTGAATCTTTCAAAAATCCAAGACATGACTTGGTGCTAGTTGCAAACATTAAGGATGGGCGCGACTCGTGACTGCTAGTGTTACCAATTGTCCAACGTTTTTCATTGTACCTTGGGGATTTTTAGGATTTTCTCTCCGCATTGGGCTGATGAATACACTCTAGATTCTCCTTTATGTTAATAATATATGCGAGAGAAAAAAATCCTAGTAAGTATGGTAGGTTTATTCTTTTTATCACATGTACGCTAGGCTAATGTGAGCACATACCCGATTTTTCTAATCTTTGGTTCAGTTTAGCAGTTAATTTTTGTGTCATTCTCTAAACTTAGTTATCGCATAGAGATCACAAAGATAGTAGCACATATCCACAATTATTATTCCAAGGGAAAAAAAGTCAAGAACAGAAAATGGTGATACCCTGGCCACCATCATCATTTCTCATCTACTAAAAAAACATGTCCATTAAATACATTGGCATAATTCCCTTTCAACGGCTTAGCGTATTAACGCTGGTTTGGTGGGAACATGCAACAAGGATACACATGGTTGAAGCAAACATGCTTTACTAGTTTATTCTCAAATGACAACTTTTTTTTGCGGGTGTATTCTCAAATGACAACTACGTACACGGGATCCTCATATATCTTGCTGCATACAGTAATAGTACTATCTTTCTCTAGATCTTTTCTTTAAAAAAAATCTAGATCGCAGGTCATGCAGTAAAAACTTGCCCTTTTTACCCCCGGGTAAGTGTGGATATCTACCGTTCAACATGACTGGATCCAGCAGAGATATCGGTACTCTGCACTTGCAAACAGGGGGATAAAAGACACCACATGTACCTATTTCCTTTCTTTTTTGGGAAAAATACCCAAGGACTTATAGAGTATTAAACAGAGCCGGCATTTTACAAGAACTCCCTCACGAAATTACCAAATTACAACGGGCGGGCAACAGTGCTGTATTTAAATCCAGCGATGACACAATGGCCACGATGGGGACAAACGTGGGTTGCATCAGAAATCGCGACCTTTTCCGCCGGAACGGAAATGGCGACATGTTTTCACATGTCAGGAAATTTAGGAGATGTTTAAAAGCATGCTCGTCTATCTCTTTTTTTCTCTCTCTTTTCGGGGGTCATGGTCGTCTATCTCGTGCTGGCGTTGCTGTGCTCGAACGCCGGAGCAGGGGGGAAAGTTCGGTCACGGTGGCCACGCTATGTGGTGTTGTGTGGTGCCAAATCTGTACGGTTGCAAACCAATTGCCATTACTATCACCTTGTAAAAAAATGCCCATCAAGTGGGGCTTAGGATAAGAGTAGATGGATTTGCAGTACTAGTACTAGTAGTACTAGAGTAGCACAAGTTTGCAACGCCGCATTAAGTTCCTTCCCTAGAGTGCTACGAGTAGTACATGTTGATTATGGAAGAGCACTATGTCATGGGCTGTTTATTAGCCCCGTTCCCCACGAATTCCGTAAAAATTTAAGTACCACTAGTACTGGTAGTAATTTGACGAAGAATCGATTTGATCTGTTAATTACGGTTCCAGTACAGTCCATCTGGGCGTGCTTTTTATTTTGAGTGGGTCCATCTGGGTGTGCTGAGGGCAGATGGACCGTGGAAGGGACCGGGAGACGGTGACAGACAGAAGGGAGAACAAGAGATAATGGTACAGCCAGGGAATATTTGGATGGGGTAATATATTCGTGTGTTGTGTTGACCTAACATAACAGGGCAAGGCCAGGGAAGGAGCCGTGCCCTTCCTTTCCGTTCCCTCGAGATAGATAGGCTTTCTTTTGGATTGGATACGCAGGCGGTATTCATTTGTTTTGTTTTGTTTTTTCTCCTGTGGAGCACAGCGGAGATGCCCATCCATCGGTGGTGCCGTGCCACTGCCAACGCACCCGCTCGTCCGTCATCTCTCGTCCCCGGCCCAACCCCACGGCAGCAGCAGCACACTGGCACGCGACCGACGCGAGGTCGATCGCGACCGAAATACACCGTCACATCCCCCGTGCTTTGCTTTTCTTTCCCTCTGTGCTTGTGCGTAATCCCATCGGAACTGTTCATTCGGTTCTGCACGGCACTCGAAGCGTGGGCCTGTGCTCTATTCGTTCATTACAGTAGCCAAGAACAAATCCTGCACAGCCATATTTGTACTTCATTTGCAACCTCAATTTGCTACTTTGCACGCAAATTCCATAATGCCTTCTAGAATTTTGAGCCTAACTTTGACGATAATTTTGACGGGTAGAAATAAGCCACTTTGGAAAACGGTAATCCATGGGTGGTTGTACAGTTGTAACAAATACTAAGGCTGGTTGTAATGAGGAATATCATATACTAGTATCATGCATATGATACTAGTCTATGATACTACATCTCTAATGCATAGTATCATATGTTAGTATCATTGATGACTACATTTATTGCCATACATGACACAAAGTAACACATCATTTAATATGATACGGTATCATGATATGATACTCAAGTCTCTCTTTCTTCATTTAATTCTATGCCACCTCATCCAAATTGCTTAGTTGGCATGCATGATACTACTCCCTCCGTCCGGGTGTACAAGTCATTCGCGTAGTTCTAGATCATCGATTTAAGGAATTAAATATGTGTTATATGTCATGAAAAGTATACCACTAGATTTCCACACGGATGTAGTTTTTAAATATATATTTTTTGTCACATATAATATATATTTAGATAGTTAAATTATCGACCTAGAACTACGCGAATGACTTATACACCGGGACGGAGGTAGTAACTATGATACTCTCATTACGGGCAGCCTAAGGCTGGTTGTAATGATAGTATTATAACTAGTATCATGCATGCCAACTAGACAATTTTGATGAGATGTCATAGCATTAAATGAAGAAAGAGAGGGTGTAGTATCATATCATGATACCGTATCATAATAAATGCTATGTTACTTTGTGTCATGCATGACAATAAATAAAATACTACATGATACTAATATATGATACTATGCATTAGGGAGGTAGTATCATACACTAGTATCATATGCATGATACTAGTACATGATACTCCCCATTACAACCAGCCTAAAAGCAAAGTTTTCCCTCAAAATAACTACTCCTCCGTCTAGGTGTACTATAAGTCATTTTAGTTTGTGCA